TCTCAATTGGCGGCGAGCGAGGGGGAAGTGAGAAGGAGAAGGCCTTCTCGGAAGGCTGCGGGACTTCTCAGACGTCCTCGCGCCTCCTGCGATATTTATCACGTCTTCGGGGAAGGCTTAGATAACTTCTGAGAAGGACCAGGGACTTCTCGGCGGTGGACAAACCTCCCTTTAGTAAACCTCCCCTTAGAGAAAACGGCCTGGGACCGAAACCGACGGACCTGGACCCGCAAAAATGACGGCCGCGACGCCTTCTCGCGAACCGAAAACGGCCAATTCCTTAATCGACGTGTCAGGGTAGGAGGTCTATCAACCTCCGAACTTCCGAGCCTTCTGAGAAGGCCTTCTCCTTCTCACTTCCCCTCCGGGCGCGCCGCCGATTCCAGGCCGAATGTTACGTCGGGCCAGCCTGCAACACACAGCTAGCCCACACTGCCCCAGTCTACAGCGTCCATGCTCTTACAGCGGCCTGACTTACCCTAAGGCCGTAGCCTTCAGGAAAAAATGTCGAGCACTAATCAGGCACGCTCTCTGCTCTAGGGCGGGCACATGTCGCTTTGCCCGACAGTACACATCGGGCTCTGATTTTCCCTGGACGCCCGCTTGCAAGAACCAGCTGAACAGAACAACCATGTCGCACGCTCACACACTCTCAACATAATCATCACCCCCACCATCATCATCCTCATCATGATGATTACCATCATCTCCCACGCGTTCACGTTTAGCATCCCAACATCACGGCCACCATCATCATAGCATTCACAAGCTCACACACTCACAAATATCATCCGCATCACAATCATCAGTATCATCAGCAGTATCATCATCAGTATCAGCATCATCGTAATCATCGTCATCATCATCATCACACTCATCATCATCATCATCATCATCATCATCATCATCATCATCATCATCATCATCATCATCATCATCATCATCATCATCATCATCATCCTCGTCGTCATCAGCATCATCAGCATCATCATGATCCGTAGCCAGTTTGGTGGTTCCAGTGCTCTCTCCTCCAGATCTCTTGCAGGCGCCCGCGCCCTGCGGTCCGAGGCGCGCACCTGGGCGACGAACCATGGCTACGGGGGGCTGCCCGCAAGTGCGACGGCGGGGCGGCCCATCAGGCGGGTCAGGCGTGTCGGTGCGCCGCGCAGGACGGAGGAGGCAGAGGCAGGCGCCGCGGCGGCCCGCCGCCGGGCGCGGGCACGGCGCCTCCTCGCGGCCGAGGCAGCAGTCAGCAGGGCGGACAGCAATGCGGACAGAGGCGGCCCAAGTTCCCGGCAGGACCGCGAGGCGGCTGCGCGCCCCGCCTTGCGCCTCGCCGCCGCGGGAGGTCGCGTCCCTGGCGCAGTGAGGCGGCGGCGGCACGCCGCATGGCACGCGCTGCTGGCCCCCGCGGGCGGATTCGCGCGCGCGCGCGCGTCCGCAGCGGGCCTAGAGCGGGCCGCCGCAGGCCCCCGCCTGGGCTGGCTGCCCCAGCTCTCTGAGGCGGCCGCGGTGTCCTTCGGCGACTTCGAAGCTGCACCCGAAGAGCACTGCCAGGCTCTCGGTGCCGAGGACGAGAACCTCTGCGAGGGGCTGGAGGACCTGAAGGGCATGCTCATGCGCAAATTTGGCCTGGACCTGGACGAGGACGAGGGCCTCCGTGAGGGAGGATAGGCTGGACGACATGAAGGGCCTGCACAAGCGCGAGGTCGGACTGGACCTGGACGAGGACGGCAGCCTCTCCGAGGACATGTACAGGCGCAAGTTCAGCCTGGACCTGGACAAGGGCGAGGGCCTCCGCGCGAGCAGGATGGAGGACCCGAAGAGCCCGTACATGCGCGAGTTTGGCCTGGACCTGGGCGCGGACGAGGGCCTCTTCGAGGGCAGGCTGGAGGACATCAAGGGCCTGCACAACCGCAAGTTCGGTCTGGACCTGGACGGGGACAATAACCTCTGCGAGGACAAGCTGGCTGAGAACCTGAAGGGCATGCACAAGCTCAAGTTCAGCCTGGACCTGGTCGGGGAGGACGGGCTTGAGGACCTGAAGGGCAGGCTCCAGCGCAAGCTCGGCCGGGACCTGGTCGGGGACGAGGGACTCTACGAGGGCAAGCTGGAGGACCCGAAGGGCCCGTACATGCGCGAGTTCGGCCTGGATCTGGGCGCGGAGGTCGGCCTATGCGAGGACAGGCTGGAGGACCTGAAGGGCCTGCGCACGCGCAAGTTAAGTATGGACCTGGACGAGGACGAGAGCCTCTGCGAGGACATGCTGTAGGACCTGAAGGGCATGCGCAAGCGCAAGTTCGCTTTGGACATGGTCGAGGAAGAGGGCCTCTGCGAGGGCAGGCGGGAGGACCTCAAGGGCCCGTACAAGCGCGCAAGCGTGAGTGCGACCCGGACCTGAGCGCGGACGAGTGCCTCTGCTTCCTGTCTGCGGACGAGCTCCTGGAGGTGGGGGCCGCCTCCCGCGTTCGCCCTCGCGGCGGCCAGCATCCTCCTGGGGGTTCCGCTCGGGGCCTTTAGGGCCTTAGACGACCCCGAGCCTGCCTGATGTCTCTGGCAGCGCTAGCTGCATACCAGCCCGCGGGTGTCGCGGGCTGCATCGCCGTGGCTGCTCGGATGTCGTGTCTTCCAGTTGCTTCGGCTGGGGCGGGGGGCGGCCGTTCGGCACTGAGCGTTGCCTCCGCAGGGCCAAAGGGAAACGTCTCGGTCAGAGGGGCAGTCCGAGCGGGGAGCTCCTGACCCCTTCAGACGCGTGGACCATCATCATCATCATCATCATCATCATCATCATCATCATCATCATCATCATCATCATCATCATCATCATCGTCATCATCATCATCATCATCATCATCAGCATCATCAGCACCAGCACCATCATCACCAGCACCATCCTCATCATCAGCATCATCATCATCGTCATCATCACCATCAGCAGCATCATCATCATCATGACCATCATCATCTTCACCATCTTCATCAGCATCATCATCATCACAATCACCATCCTCACCACCCCGACGCACACTCACACGCTCACGAACTCATGAGCGGGAGCCTCCTAATTGTGTGAGCTGGTCGCGAGGGCGTCTCGAGCGGGAGCCCCCTCCCTATGGGGCCCGCGCTTCATGCTACTAATCTGAGGCGGCCGGCGGTAGACCTAAAAACTCACAACGATTTATCATCGTCGAGTCGCCAGAACTCAACTCCTAGTCCTGATTCGAGCGTCCAGAACTAACTGTAAGCCATTTCGTATTTCGTGCACTTCAAATTCCAAGGACGCCACTCCCGCGCCTGATTCTGCGCGTCCGGAACCTTCACTGCGACACTGTCTGTGTTTTGTGTTTTTTCTTGTAGGGCTCGCAAGCTCGCACACGGAGTGTTCTTTGCTCGGTGCGCGACACATGCACGCTGTAATTGAGTACGGCAGGTTCGTGTCGTGCCGACCCCAGCGTTGGTTTTTGACACCGCAGGGATCGTTCAACCTTGAACGATCGGCCGCTGCCGCAACGTCCGATCGTTCAACATCGATCGATTCTGGGTCGCCGGCGGCGTTCAACCTTGAACGCCCGCGCTGGGGTCGCCGCGGGTCGACACGACGCGAACCTACCGTACTGGTCGCGCCAGAAGAGAAACTTCAGCGCGTGGAGACGCAATTGGACCCCTCCTCTGTGTCTGGGCAGCTGTCGAATCGTTTGGTCCGTGGGGCTGTGGGGAGGCCCAGCTGGCGGAGAAAAAGGACGATCACATAGACGCAGAAGTCATACATAATCGAACCAGCGCGAGAGCTTAAGCTCTAGGACAGCATGCGCAGAGTCATCGGGGAGGCAAAGCACGCAGGTCTCTGCGTCTTACCGACAGGGGAGGCAAACCCACCTGGCGCCCCGACACTTGTCGTATTGCGCCACCCTGCGAGCACAAAAACAACATTGCAGCATGCTTGCTGCGCCCGGCTGTCCCCGCAAGCCGACCGAGAAAGCACAGTGATGTGAGCACCAAGCGTGGGCTCTCGATTGAAATGGCCGCTAAGCGCTGTCAGACCACTGCCGCATGCACAGGCAGCGCCAGCTGCCCTATCCATCGACGTGCTCTTGCATGCGCGCGTTCCTTCTCCTCCTCCTCCACCACCTCCACCACCCCCACCTCCCCCTTCCCCCCGGAGCACCGATCCACCGATGCCCCGCGCTGGATGTAGCGGAGTCGCGCGCGAATCGAACCGTCATGTGCCGCCAAACTCATCTTCTGGGAATGGCACTGTGATGTGGCTTCACGGGCCCTTGTGATTCGTACCAGCACTGCCCTGAACGTGCAAAGGGTGCCCGCCGCGATGCAATGCTTGCCTGTACCATTCGGGCAAGGCGGTCAACCTTGGGATCGAAGAAACAAAACTTGCACCACCATGGCTGCATTGTGTGCCTGCACCAGTGTGGCAGGCGGTCAACCTTGGGACCGCAGAACATAACATATGCACCGTGGCTGCTCTCGGGTTAAGACCAGAAAACTGCCCCTGGCATGTAAGTCAGGTAGAAGGGAGTCGGTCCTGGACCGAGCGTGAGGTAGCAAGGGGTCGGTCCTGGACCGTGCATGAGGTACCAGGGGTTCTCTCCTGGATCAACCATGCGGACAACAGCGCTGGCATCGCGACTGGATTCAGCAGCATGACCTGGTTGAACACCTAGTCAGCACGACTGGTAGCAGCACTGGCATAATTAACCAGGTTGAACTCTATAAGATTGCACAGGGTGCATATGTATAACTGTTGCTGAGGCTGTTCAGCAGCACAGGCGAATGACATTTACAGTGGACGATCTACAGATCCGCTGCAAATCAACGAATTAAGCCGCAGGATCTAAACACTTCGGCGTCGCGGGTGATCGTTGCCACCTTTTTCTGAAATCTGGGGTAGCCGCACCTCCTCCTCCTCCTCCTCCTCCTCCTCCTCCTCCTCCTCCTCCTCCTCCTCTCCACCCACCTACTTCCAGCCGCCCAAAAGCAGTGCTTCAGCTGCCTGCGGAGCGCGGGTGCCTCGTCGAAAGCGACCTCCCTGCGTGGCTGGGGCGGACGTGGGCGGGCGCCTCTGCTGGCGGGCGCGCGGGCCCGACCGCCTCGCTGCCCGACTGCCTCGGGCCCGCGGAGCACAGGATGATCTTGCGGTCGTCGAGGTTGGGCGGCCTCTGGCCCAGATGGTTCACGGTCGTCGAGATCATCGATGTCTGTCGCGCTTGCCGTCGCCGAGGTTGGTCGGGCTCGCGAGGCTCCTGCAGGATCCCGGCGCCCACCCCGGAAGGCCTCGGGGACTCCCAGGAGATGTCGAAGGTCGACACGGTGTCGCTCACCGACTCGGTGTCACTCGTCTGGCCGCTCCTTGCCCCGCTGCTGACCAGCTCCACTCTTGGCACCTCGGGCGCCGTGAACGCTTTGGCCACGCGTCGGCCCAGCGTGCCGCTGCCCGGGCGAGACTCAGAGATCCTCATGCCGAACCTCTTCAGCTCGAGGAGGTCGTGGAGAGTCACCACAGGCCCAGGAGGAGGCCTGAGCCCATGAGGCCTCCGGATCCTGCAGGGGCCGAGGACGCGGGGGCCCGGCGCAGCCTCGCCGTGGCCGCCCGACGGTCTGCAAGCGACGGGGCGCCCGCGGGCAATCCTGGGCGTCGAGGGCTGCCGCGGCGCGGGCGACGCGCTGGACGCCTCCGCCCACGCTATCGCCGGCCTTGGGCGCGGGAGCTGCACGCTGACGGGCGGGAGCGCGGCGCCAGCGAGGCTCGACATCCCTGATGATCGGGGCGTCGACGACCAGGGATCCCAAGGCGCAGGTCAGGAGCGCTCCGAGAAAATGCACCCCGAAAATTACTTGAGCCAAAAATTGCTAGGGAGGAACCTTCACTGCGCCACTTTGGGCTCTCCGTGCTCCAAGCAATCCACCCGTGGGAGTGACTTCGCACTTTCACGGCCAACTGTCAGCCATTTCGGGCTCTTCGTGCTCACTGAACTTCACTCCTGAGACTAGTTTTAAGTCGGGCGTGTCCCCCTCCCTACAGGGGGATTTTGGACGACAACAACAAAAAATAGACAAACAATACCCCGACATGGTCAACAAATACTCAAAAAATCGTTCCCTGACTATTTTTGACTATTTTTGAAGAATCCTCCTGTAGAGGGACAGGCCCGACTTAAGACTAGTTTCGAATGTTCAAAATGATCCCAGTGCGACCCTACCTAGGAGTTGGAGCCTCTAGGAAAGCAACATTAGTAGGAGCAGCAATAGTGGATGCTGTGCTGCGCTATGCTATGCTATGCTATACTATGCTATGCTATGCTATGCTATGCTGCGCAATGCTATGCTGCGCTATGCTATGCTGCGCTATGCTATGCTATGCTATGCTATGCTATGCTATGCTATGCTTTTGCTCTGCCTTCGCTTATGCCTTCACTTTTGCCTTTGCTTTTGCTTTTGCTTGGCACCCAGGGAGCGCAACTGGGGGAACCGCGCGTTTGCTTTTACCTTTGCTGTTGCTTTTGCTTGGCTCCCAGGGGACCGGGGGAACCGCCCGGGGCGGGTTCCACTGCCCGGCACTTTAAGCTACAGAGTAAGAACCCTTCTAGGCAGAGCCTAGGTAGGGAATAAAACGTGGACCACTTCGGGATCGTCATGCTCCCGGAACTCCGCTTCTGGGCTTCACCTCGCGCTCCCATCCTGGAATCCTGGCAGCCTGGTAGCCTGGCGACGTGACGTCCTGGCATCGGCGGCACTCGTGGTACCCCCTGGCACACATGGCATCCAGGCACAAGCCCTGCAGGCCTGACAGAGCCTCACAAGGGCAACAACCTCCGCAAGTCGAAACACGCCTCACAGGACGCACAGGCCCTGCACGCGTCACGGGTCTCGAGTCAAGGGTCCCACAGGACGCATAGGTCGTACAGGTCCCACACAATGCACAAGCAAGCCTCATACGCGCAGCAGGCCCCACAGGTGGCACTAGTCCAACAGCTCCCACAGGTCGCATAAAGTCCACATGATTCAGAAATCCCACAGGTCGTGCGGGTCCCAAATGTTCGACAAGCCCCACATTTCCCGCAGACCAACATGCCCCACAAGCCGCACAGGTTACACTGGTATCCGGAGATATTGCCAAGCTGACATCATCCTCACATCCTCGGCCACATGGCCATGGCATCCTCACATCCTGACATCATCGAGCCCTGGCATCCTAGCATACACACATGCATGCATGCATGCATGCACACACATATACATACATACATACATACATGCATGCATGCATGCATGCATGCATGCATGCATGCATACATACATACATACATACATACATACATACATACATGCATGCATGCATACATACATACATAAATACATACATGCATGCATACATACATACATACATGCATGCATACGTGCATACGTGCACACGTACATATATACATGCATGCACTTATACATCCATACATCCATACATCCATACATGCATACATACATACATATATACATACATACATGCATGCATGCATACATACATACATACATACATGCAGACGCCCATACATACATGCGAACATACATGCATACAAACATCACACATACGTGCATGCATGTAAGCATGTATACCTACATGCATGCATGCATACATGCATGCATGCATGTATACATACATGCATACATGCATGGATACATATACATACAGGTTGCACCACATAGCTTCAAACGTATAGCATAACCTGCACCGCATGAATACACACACTCTTAGTCAAGTGATTTTGTCTAAGGCCAGGGACCTCGGGGGAAAAAAACACACAAAACGAAAGACGAAACAACGAACACACACACACACACAACACACAACACACAACACACAAACACACGCACGCACGCACGCACGCACGCACGCACGCACGCACGAAAACACACACACACACAAGCACACACACACACACACACACACACACGCACACAGCGCCTGACAAATTTGGCTCACTCCGGGCCTTGCGGGCAGCACCCGAGACGACACGGGAGGACCTCACGAGAGCCCGAAGACGGCCCCAGAGGGCCCAAGAGGCCTCCCAGAGCACTCCTAAGAGGGCCCCAAAAGGCCAGATTCATTGATTTTCCGTTAGTTTGTGGGGGATTTGGGAGTTCTCCCCTGTTCGGCTTCCCGTCGCTCCAAGACGGCCCACGAGGCCCCCGAGATCGCCCTAAGATGGCCCGACTCACCTGCAAGAGGACCCCAAACCGGCCCAAGAGAGCCCCCAAACAGTTCCGACAGGGCCCCAGGAGGCCCCAGAAAGCTCCCAAGAGGCCCCGAAGAGGCCCCAAGATGCTTCCAAGAGGCCCCCAGGAAGCCTCAAGAGGTTTCCAAGAGTCCCAAAAGATCCCGCAAGGACCTGACAGAAGTTCGAGATCACTCCAAAACGCAAAACTCATTGATCTGTTGGTGTGTGGGGGATTTGGGAGTTCTCCCCTGTTCGGCTTCCCGTCGCTCCAAGACGGCCCACGAGGCCCCCGAGATCGCCTAAGACGGCCCGACAGACCTCCAAGAGGGCCCCAAACCGGCTCAACAGGGCCCCAAACCCGCCCAAGAGAGCCCCCAGACAGTCCCGACAGGGCCTCAGAAGGCCCCAGGAGGTTCCCAAGAGGCCCCGAAGAGGCCCTAAGAGGCCCCGGAGAAGCCCTCAGGAAGCCCCAAGAGGTTCCCAAGAGCCCCAAAAGATCCTGCAAGGACCCCACAGAAGTTCGAAAACGCCCGAAGAGGCCCCCAAGACAGGCCCAAAACGGGCCAGGAGCCCGAACATTACCCCAAGACAGCCCAACAAAGCCAATGCGCGCCCCAAGACGGGCCCAAGCCATAACGGGACTGCACCGCGTCCCACAGAGACCCTCAGAAGGCTCCAGGAAGCTCCAAGAAGGTCCACGTGACGTTAACACTCTGAAAACGAGGCCTCCCAAGAGCGTACGGCGGCGCAAAACAACTTCAGCGTCGAGATAATAGAGCTCCGCTGCGACACGGTCCCGAAGACCCCCAAAGCACTCACACGGCTCCTTCCATTGTCGTCCCAAAGACACGGTCATTGGTAAGCCCAGGTCGCCGTTCCACATTCTACCGCGTCTCCATACCGTTTCCTACACAAGTCTTTCGGCATTCGCGAGACCTTCACTGCGATTATCGCCACCCTCTGTGGTCACGACCGCGTGCATGTATATAGACATGCATATGTGTGCGCGTAGATCGGTCCAAGTAGGCATGATACGTATGTATGCGCAGTGGTGGGTATATACATCTATATACATATGTATGTATATAGATGTATATGTATATACACATGAACATACTTGCATGTACGTGTATCAACATACCCACACATATGTGGATACACACATATATATGTATACATGTGTATGTGTACATATATATATATATACACCGATGTGTACATATATATGGCGTGCACGCACGACCGCGCGTACGACGTGTATGCACATATTCACGCGCGAGTGTCCACGCGCAAGCACGGCGCCAGCGTGCGAAACTGGAAGGACAAAGGTGCATGGCGCGAGTCGCCACTGCGGTCGTATCTATATCTATATAAATATGTGTAGTTTGCACCACCTAGCTTGCACCGCACATACTCAGCATCCACAGTCGTGGTGGCTACGGTGGCAGACATTGCACTCCAAAGCAGCTCAATGAGAGCTTGCCAAGGTGTGGCATTGCGCCCAAAGCATCCTCAAGATGGCCTCTGGCTGGCCACAAGGCAGCCGTTTGGCCTTGTGGCCCAGAATGGTACATGCACGCATTGACGGAATGAGGAAGGCGGCGCAAGAAGGCTCGGCTGGCAGCTCGCCAACGGGCCCGCGGTGCGCCGGCGTGAAACTGTATTGGTGGCCCCAGGATGGCCGCAGAAGGCTCTCCAAAGCCTGGAGACGCGAGGTGTCACGAGTGACGGCCTCCCGTGCCCCCTCGAAGAATCGCGACCCAGATTACTGGGCTGGCAAGGCGGCGAGACTTGCTTCAGGCAGCTGGTATACAGAACCTTTTCTCTGGCCGTGTGGGGGAACAACAATCAACAAACCGTGGTACACTGGAAGCCAGTCCACAAGAAACCTTCCAAAAGAAACCCAACCCTGGAACCCCAGGGCGTCCCTTGATTCTTGGTGTTGCAATGCCACGCTTCCCATCGCAGAACCGTCGAAACCCAATCCAAGAAACCAAGGGCACCCTGGAGGCAAGCAGGGTGCTTCCTAGCATGGGTCTCCACTGTATCATCATCCTCCCCCTCCCCCTGCCCCGCATCCTCACTGAGATCTTCCCTCCCCCTTACCCTCCCCCTCATCCTCCCCCTCCCCCTCCCCCATCATCATCATCATCATCATCATCATCATCATCATCATCATCATCATCATCATCATCATCATCATCATCATCATCACCATCATCATCATCAGCATCATCATCGTCGTCATCATCAGCATCATCATGACCATCATGATCATCATCATCAACATCATCAGCACCAGCATCACCATCAGCATCAGCATCATCACAAGCATCAGCATCAGCATCAGCATCAGCGTCAGCATCATCATCATCATCACCATCATCATCAGCATCATCATCAGCAGCATCAGCATCAGCATCAGCATCAGCATCATCAGCATCATCATCATCGTCATTATCAGCATCAGCATCAGCATAAGCATCAGCATCAACATCATCAGCATCAGCATCATCATCATCACCATCACCATAATCCTCTCC